CTAGTTTGCATGGCCTAAAGGCTTGGGTTCAAAAGGACTAGGCTTAAAGGTTTTGGGCTTGTAACCCAGCCTAAGGGATTGGATTTGGGTTGGGCTCAGTGGGTCGAAGACCCTGGTTTTACACGGCCCAAAGGCCCAGTTTGGGTTTAGGTTCAGTGGGTTGAGCTTAGCGTTCCACGGGCTTTGGGCTTGAAAGCACAACCCAAAACCCTAGGCTAGGGGATTCAGTTTATAGAATTTGGGTCTAGTCTGACATAGTTTCGGTGAGGGAGAAAACCGAGCTTCTCGAGCTCCGATAGACTCCGGTGCTCCAATAAACCCTACGATCTACCCCTCGAATTGAAGTTACGAAGGAGGGGAAAATGGTCGTATTTATGACAAACCGTAAGGTGGCCGGAGTCGTCTAGATTTTGGGCTTTAAAACCACGGGCTCGTTGGCTCACTTCCTGGGCTCCCTGTGCTTCACAGAGGAGGAGGGAAAGAAAGTCGACACCAGTGGTGATGGTGGTACTGTTATTGCCGTCGTTTGTCAACTTTGGGTGTGTGGATGTGTGTGTAGTTCGGGGAGAAGATAGAGGGTTTGTGCGTGAGAAAGAAAGCTGAGAGAGTGACTTGGGGGAGAATAGAGAAGGAGAGAGAGAAAAGAGATAGGGGTAGGGGAGCTGTCACATGGCAGCCAAAGAGAGAGGGAGAATTTAGAGGAAATCCAAAAAGGGAAACCAGATTAGGTAAAGGATAAGGGACAAAATCGTAATCTCATAATTCTTATTAAAACGAAATTACAATTAATTGGGATGTGCTTTCACATAGGGATCATCACATCCTAGCCGTTTATTATACATTGTGAAGTCAGAAATTATTTTAAATTTTTTATATTTAAGATTAAACATAAATAGTACCTAATGAAAACTGACCGCACGATGTACGATGAATGATCATGATGTGAGGATCCCTAGGATCCCCACAAAGGGGATCCGGAGAAGATCCTCATCCCATTTTTACAATTATAAGGTAAACATTAGACAAACCACTTAGTATTATAGTCTAGTGATATTCCTGTTTATTTGTAAGTGAGGTCTTAGGTTTGATTTTCATCAAAGGCGAATGTGAACCACATTATTACTAGTCCATTGTGAGGCTTAGCCAACTTCCCCACCCCTTTAGTGTAGATACCGTTTGTTCAAAAAAAAAGAAAAAATTAAACATTAGACAAAATTATAGGACATAAAGGGTAAGGATGACATTTAATGGAAAAGAGATAAAGTTAAGAACCAAAACCCATAATGGACTTATGCCCAATAAAATTTAGAGAACTTTAACAAAAAGCTCCCGGTACTGTTCACTTTAACGAAAAACCACATTTTTACACTAAAAAGTCAATCATGATATTATTCACTTTACCCTTTATTTGTCATTTTCATTCAAACTCAAAGTTTTCAAGCCCTTTTCATTACACTAAAAAGACAAATAATTGCAATTAGGCCTGCCAAACAGGTTGTGTTTGTCGTATTTTGTGTCGTTTTTGTATAACACCTGTTATCTTAACGGGTTGTGTCGTGTCATACTCGTTATCTTAACTGGTCCTTAACAGGTCGAGTCACTTTACCCAACAAGTAAAATGACCAGACTCGTTATGACCCATTAAAATTTTTTTTTTCCTTAAATTTGCACATACCACATTGCCACATAAATATTTCTTCAAAACATAAAAATACATTTGTTGTTAAGTACTACATCTACACTCCAAAATAAGAACCTAATAAAAAAAAAACAATACCAATACACTACTAGTCTACTACAAAATATCAAATGTGCAAGGATATGTAAAAGAAATGAGTTTTTCTTTTCAAGGTTATGAAGCCTTTCTCAGAAGTTAAAATGTTGCTAATGAAGCTCAAAGCTTGCATGTTATTCCTTTTACAAAATCCTTCAATTTTCATCGATTATCATGAGGAAATTGTGTTGGAACTTGGGAATTTTCATGAAAAAGGCTTGGACTAAGTTTATTTTAATAAAAAAAAAACCATGTTATAACTTTATTTAATTAAAAAGACTTAAATTTTAATAAAAATGACAAAAATGTTTTTTTAATAAAAAAGACATAATTTTAATATTAAAAGAAAAACTGACGCACGGACCCGAACGCTGAATCCTAATTTTAGGATGATTGACCCCTTTAATTTAGTCCATATGATGTCCTTTTTGGGAGCTAGAGGAAATGCATAACACCACCCCCGCACAAACTGTTTATGAAACTTACTACATTGTTTATGAAAACTCATTACACTATTTATGAAACTTACTACATTGTTTATGAAACTCAACAATACAACACAATTTATGAAACTTAATGATACTACACGGTTTATGAAACTTAACGGTACAATACAGTTTATGAAACTTAACAGTAGATTCTCGTCCCAAATTTTCAAGTTCTTTCACCAGAATGCAATAAAAAGATAAAACAAAAAAAAAATGATAGACATCAACGTCCACACCGTTAAAGTCATGCATGGTTAATAGCTCAATACCATTACTAGAAAAATGGGTGATGAGTCCAAAGATGTTGTCAATGATGTTGCACCACCCCTACCCTCAACCATCCCAACCCACACCTGATCAACTCCTTCCCAACCATACCGCCCAAAATGTGGTTTTGAATTGAATGGAGCCCATTTCAATTTGAAATTTTAATTTTAGAAGAATAAAATATGTTTGGATTATGTCAAAGGGTTAAGAATTGAAGGATTGGTTGGGTGCTCTTTGCGCGCGTTTTAGTTAGGTTTTTTTTTTTTTTTTCTTTTTTCTTTTTCCTCTTGTCCTTATTGTTAAATAAAGTTATAAGATGATTTTTGGTTAAAACTCAAAGTTTTGAAGCTTTTTTCATTAGTTTTCTTTTGAAACTTTTATCTTGATCTATTGCCTTCATGAGTTATGTTGATGATGTTTTCAGTAAGGTTTTCCACATCAAAACTCTCTTATGCATAAATTAAGTATAGAAAAACCAAACATTATAAACCATTCAAATTATGAGAAGTTTACCAAAATAATTATGAAAAGAAATAAAACAATAATGCTATACCATATAAAAATATATTACCTCATTTTTTCCCAAAATTTCTAAATTTAATTTAATATATATATGATATATATAATTATTATAGTATTTTAGGGGGTATAAAATTATTAAATTAATATTTTGCTTATCGTGTATCAGGTTACCCATGTGTATATTCGGACCAACCCGTTATCTTAACAGGTGCTTATTGGGTTGCCCGATAATGATCCGATTCGTTATCATGTCGACCCGATAACTTGTTAATTTTGTGTCTTGTCGTGTTGGGTTAACGGGTCGTGTCATAAATTGTCAGGCCTAATTGTAATTATTAGTTTTTGACATTTGGTTGTAGAACTGATTAGTTTTTCTATAACTACAATATTTTTATCATATATTGATGGCATAAAGATGATAGAATGACGACATTGTAAAATTGATCATTTAAATCTAATGTTCAAAACTGATAATTTCAACTAATTGCCCTAAAAGCTCATATTAGTCAATAGCTATTTGTAATGAGCCTATTAAAGGCATACCAAATTTGCATAAAAAAGCCTTATTAGTTATTGTAGGACACAAATCCATTTAGAGGAGCTTGGTTGTTAGGTTAGAGAGCATTTATGCTGTCACACAGCACCATAATCTTTGAGTCGGACATAAGCTAATCTCATTTTGTTTTTTTTATACAACGATATTGAGCACAATAAGCAATCAATAATTTAATACTAAATATTCCATGTATAAGAATCGATACGAATATATATGTGTGTAAAATAAAAACTTAGTCCCGTGGCTTCAGCAACATAACAAAAGATACAAAAAACTAGAAAAACATTGGAAATCTGAAGAGAGTTGGTTAAAGTGACAAATAGAAGGTAAAAAAATCACTAATCAATTGCTACTAAGATAATCAAAGAGCCATCTTTGTGTATTGGTTTTCATTGAAATGATTCACTTTGATATGTATTTGCTGAAATAATCCTTTATAATGTCGTGATTATATCATTATTGTATAGTCTTTATTTAATTTGTATAAGCTTTTATTGAATTGATTCACTTAATATATAGTGAAATAACCTGTTTTTATGATGTGATTATATTATTATTATATCGCGGATATTTGAACAAACAAACATCATAAGTGAATCATTTTAGTTAATTGCTCGTTTTTATTATTTTTAACGTGTGGTGGTCTTATTCTAATGTAAGTCCAAACGTGCAACCATGATGCTTGTTTATCTGCAAAATTCTTTCCTTAGTGGCCAATCCCACCATGTTCTCAGCACGAGGTCAGATCAGTTTTCTTTTTTATAAAAGAGGATCGGTTAATAGTTTTGTTAAAGAATTATTATTAGGATTTCAAAAATTTTATTTGGTATTTTAAATTTTTTATAATTAAAAAAGAAAATATATTTTAAAATATTAATAATAATTTTTTTTATTATTGTAATCTATTTTTTAAAAAATTAAAAAAAGATCGTAAAGATATTTAAGACTCTCTTTAACTACCATAGTACGTATTATTAATATCAAGAATTTATTCCCAACCACTTAATTAAAGTGCAGGAGGTCAGAGCTTGATTGGCGAGTCTTAAACTTGCAGCAGCAGCCAGTTTGCCAACTTGGACACAGCTCTCCAAGGCGCGTGTTACAAAGCGCGTCGGAGAACGAGTTACACGATTTTCAATGGGTGCCAGAAAAAAAATGAGTAGCCGCAGCCAACCGAGGAAGAACCAAGGAAAAAGAAAAAATGCACATCCCTCTTTACATAGCAAGTCTGAAGCCGCATCTGCTCGTTACACGCATTTGACTGCCAAATTTAATTTAATTATATTAAAATACTAATTTCAATATTAATTTAAAATAGAAAATACCAATCCTTGCAGAGACCGACTCCCTCAATTTAAGCGTTTGACAGCTTCTTTCCATTTCTTAACCCCATCAACTCGTCTTTCTCTCTCTAGAAAGCAAGAAGCAAGCTGCTTCTCAGTGAAGAAAATTTAACATCGTAAAATCAATCGGTAATGTGAAAAATAATTTAACTTATTATAAACTCATGTAATATTTCTCTTTTATTAATACGATATTCATTTTCAAAATTCTAAATATATAAAAAACCCAAAACCCCAAACCCATCTCCCATCTCCCATCTCTCTCCTTAAAACGTAGGAGGAATCCAAGAAAATAGCATTGCTTTCCCTGCTATTTGAAAATCTCTCTCCATTTCCTCATCTGGGTTTGTTCCCATCAAACTCTTTTTCTCCTCTCTCTCTCTCTCTCTCTCTCTGTCTACAAAACGCAGAAAGCAGAAAAGCAGGGGACAGGAAAAATAAAGATCAAAGCTTTTTTTGTTGTGCATAAGAAATAATGGCGCGGTATCAGCGGCACCAGCACCACCAATGGAGAAAAGTTGAAAAGCCTTGTGCAGCCGCAGAGGAAGATGAAGAATCACAGACCACCACCTTTCTAATGGAGTTTGCAAACTCTGGTTACTATTACAAGAGAACGAGTCCCAAGCTTCTCTATCTCCTCTTCATCTCTTTCCTCTCTTGCAGCTTCATCTTGGCCCCTCATCTTTTCAGCTCGACCACCACTTTCTCTCTCCTATGTAACTTTCTCTCTCATCTTTTTTTGTTCTTTTCTTTGTTCTTATCTTCCTGCATGTGTATGACGGTGGTGTTGTTTTTTGGGTTTTTGTAGATTCAACACCTGTGGAAGATATGGATGTAAATGTTCCCTTGTGTTCTTCAATCTCTAACGGTGAGTGCTCTGCCTTGCCTTTCTCTTTTGATCTTGTATTCTCAAATAGAATTGATATACTGCTAAAGGTGGTCACTTTTATTCGAGCGATATTCTAATCTAATTTATAGTAAGAGGAAGGGGAAGTACTTGAGCTTGGGTCCCGAGCGAGAGCACTCTGTTCTAACCAACTTAATTAAGTCCAAGGTTGAAGTTGGGTTTTGATTTAGCATTCGCTTAGGCCCAATTTGGTTCATGAAAAATAAAGGGGAAGGAAAGGAAACAAGGAAAATTTAATGAACCAAAATGGGGAAGGACAGAAAATATATTGATAGGTTTATAAAATCTAGTACCGAGTTTTTTGAACTCTCTCTCTGTCTCATGTGTTTTGATTTTGATGAGAGATTGTAATCCCATCATAAACTTCAAATGCTTTTGATAATTGATGTTTATTTTGGTAATACAAATTAGCTAAAAGTTGTCTCTGTGCCTTCAGGAACTATATGTTGCGATCGAAGCAATATTCGTTCGGATATTTGTGTAATGAAAGGGGATGTAAGAACACACTCTGCTTCCTCCACTATCTTCCTCTACCGATCTACAGAAGGAAGTAGCTTCCAAAATCGTGTTTCTGATGTCGTTGAGGAAAATGAAGAAGATGAAACAGAGGAACTAGAGCATGAAAAGGTCAAACCGTATACACGGAAATGGGAAACAAGTGTCATGGACACCATTGATGAATTACAGCTCATTGCCAAGAAAGACACTCTAGGCATGCACCACCGGTGTGATGTGCAGCACGATGTTCCGGCAGTGTTTTTCTCAACCGGGGGATACACCGGTAATGTCTATCATGAATTTAATGATGGGATTATGCCATTGTTCATTACTTCCCAGCGTTTCAACAAGAAGGTTGTGTTTGTCATTCTCGATTACCATAATTGGTGGGTGATGAAATATGGTGACATTGTTTCTCAACTATCAGATTATCCACCTATAGACTTTAGTGGAGATACAAGAACTCATTGCTTCCCAGAGGTCACAGTTGGTTTGAGGATTCACGACGAGCTCACTGTGGATTCTTCACTGATGGAGGGAAATGTGAGCATTGTTGACTTTCGAAATCTTCTAGACCGAGCCTACTGGCCTCGAATTAAAAGTCTTATTGAAGACGAGGAACGGGAAGCAGTGGAAAAGCAGTCTGCATCTTTGGCATCTAAAAGCTCTTTCGAACCTGAGAGTGAAGTGCAAGAAGATCAGTTCAAGAAGCCTAAACTGGTCATCATATCTCGAAATGGATCAAGAGCGATAACAAATGAGAATTTATTGGTGAGAATGGCCACGCAAATTGGGTTTGAAGTTAACGTTTTGAGACCTGACCGCACGACAGAGTTAGCAAAGATTTATCGGGCCCTTAATGCGAGTGATGTGATGATTGGGGTTCATGGTGCTGCCATGACACACTTTATGTTCATGAAGCCTGGGTCTGTGTTTATCCAAGTTGTTCCCCTTGGCACTGAGTGGGCAGCCAAGGAGTATTATGGGGAACCTGCAAGGAAGCTCGGCTTAAAGTACATCGGCTACCAAATTCTAACTCGGGAGAGCTCGTTATACGCCAAATATGATAAGGATGATCCTGTTCTTAGGGATCCAGAGAGTGTAAACAAAATGGGATGGGAATACACAAAGAAAATCTATCTTGATGGCCAAACTGTGAGATTAGACCTCGGAAGATTTCGGAAACGATTGGTTCGTGCTTACGGCTACATCTTCCACAGGTTGAACTATCACCCCCATCTTCAATCACAGTAGTTCCGATGGTTTTACTTACATTCTTTACCTTACATAAATCATTTTGAAGGTTGTAGATGGCATAAAATGGCTACTAGGAAGATTATTGTTGGACATAAATGTGACCTATGTACATTAAGAATTGCACAAAGACACTTGATTTTGGTAAATACTTATGATTTTTTTTAGCAACTTTTTTCTTTTCTTCTTGCACCCTTGTACTTTTACTATTTAATTTTCTGCCTCAAAAGCAGCTTTTTCCCCCTTTTAAGTGATTTTTGTAAACTAATTGGACTTTTTATTCTTTGATGTCTACTTTTGCTGAAAATTCAAGACTCCAATTTTTGTTTCTTTCTGCAATTTTCTTTTGTGGATATGTCTGTTGGTCTATAAGTGCAAGAAGTTTATGGGGCATTGTGTGTGTATATATAATGGTGGCATTGACTTATGAACACTGAAAATTGGTTGGCTCATAAATTGAGATAATTTGAGCATTGGTTTTGAACTTTAATTTTGTTGGAGTTTTAATCTGATTCTGAATTTGTCACAAAGTGGAATAATGGTTATTTTGGCGAACTCTGTTAGAAGTTAGAACTTCCGTCTTTTATGGTAGTCTTTTTAATTTGGATGAAAGATTTATCGATATCATACGTAAGAACCGTTGCTCCATGTAATGATAAGTTTAAAGATATACTCAAGATCAAAGCTTCCTATTTGTCTAAACTTTGGAGACCAATTTTATTTATGAATTTAACCATGTTCCCTAGTTATATTTTCTGCAAGAGAAATGATCCTATATATTATTGGTTTGCATCTCTACTGCGATTGGCACATGCATTTGTTCGGCCAAAAACATTGACTGGAAACTACACATCTTTATGCATTTAAACCCACCAAACTTCCAGCGTTAGGCAGTCTGTAATCCCTTCTGTCTGCATCCCTAATCAAATGTTTCTGCATACAAATTTTCTTAAGCAAGGTTAGCAAAACCACCAGATTTTACTATCTAATCTTCCTTTTATATTTTTGCTAATTTTCTTAACAATATTGACTAAATAAGAAGATTCTCGTCTCCCAATCTGACAACATAAAATGCTTATGTTGTTGAATTGATTTGAGCCTTTGATCAAGTCGATACCCATATGAACATGTGATTCAGGTTTACAAATTGACAATATAAGTATTCATGTGATAATTTTGTCATATGAACACATAATTTAGATTTACAGTTTGACAATAGAAGTATTGAAATGGCTACGTCACAATACGAGCACGTGTATGATTGTTTTTCTGTTTGCTAAACAACCAAACAAGTTCGTCATCACATGTGAAACAATAATGAAAACTGGGATCTCTCTATCTATTTTTTTGAGTTATTCATATATATATATATAGATGTCGTACATATTCACCATGCATGCGAATATAGTCAGTAGAATGCATTATTGCATCCATCCAAACCAAGTGCCAAAGCCATGGGAACGTTGTACTGGTGTTTCTTCTTGGAACTGAAAATGGCCATGCAGCTTTTCCGACTGCTTTTTATCTTTTACCCTGATGAGCAAATTCATCACTCATTGTGCACAAAAATGATTGCATTGAGATTGAGGCCATTTTGACATAAAAAGATAAAATTAGCATCGTAACATGATTCTCACGTGTTAACAATTAACGGAGAATTGACGAAATTTTTATCTTTGGACCTAAATCTTAATGAACTTCACTACAGAAGTTTTTATCTTTATTTTTTTTTACCACATAAACCATTTTTTAAATACTATATCACCACGAGGGTTAATAATCTAATTAGGACTTCTTTTATTTACTTATAAAGAAGATTTATAATATCGAACTAAGATATTACTATGACGGTATTCATAATTAATTACGCACAGTAATAGTCAATGACGTACTTTAATGTAAGTTTAAACTACCACTGCAAAAGTGTGTGAGCGTCTAAAAAAAATATGTGTATCGTTTCTCTTTTATAAACTAATTAATTATAAAAACATAGTCCCATCTTATGATAAGAATTAATATTGGGTTGCTTCCAAACACACCCTTGTAGAAGTACGGCAGAAAAGCTCATATGCCACACACTGCACAAGGTGGCAGATAAGTGGGGGAGCACATGCCACATGGTTTTACAATTTGTAATGGAGTGTGTTATATAAACACCTTATTTTACTTCTCACACACCATTTGATAATTTCTGTCTGTTGATCTTCTTCAATTCATCCGATCTAATGGTCAAAAATTAAAAAGAAGAGTGAGAGGTAAAATAGAGTGTGGATATCACATCCCTTTGCAATTGACATTGTATAGAAGGATCAGATTACCCTGACTAAATACTAGCCGTTGTGTGTTTTTTATTTTACAGATATCCTTGCATCATTTCACATCTCCTCTACAATTTTCAAAATTTTGTTTAGGCCTCTCCATGTATCAAAAGTTTTGATTTGGATTAATAGTTTTTTTTTTTATTATCGAAGGTCGATTTAATATTAGAAACTTGTTACAGGAACCATTAATAGAGTTTTGTCTAAATAGTAAATACAATGTCGGTTAGTTAAGAGTTTGAGTGGCACTCCCGGCACACTAAATGAGTTGGCATTCCCAACAAATAACAATTTGACACCTAGCTATTTCATTTTTTTTAAATAAAAAAATGCCAAATGTTAGTCCTATGTAAATACAATTCCTAATCTAACCCTAATACGAAAAACTCTCGGTAACTCAGACCAGCAAACACATAAAACCCTCCACGCCGCCGCCATACCAGCAACCACCCATCTCTAGCGACGGTCGGTGAATTCATCGGCGACATTCGGTCTCTTCTCACTTACTTCCTCGTTTTCTCGCTCATCTTCCCTCCGTTTTCTCCTTCTCTTACTTCGACTTGGGACCCAAGATGGTCGACGGCAACTGCAATTCTTAAATCTGCTATCTCCGATCTAAGAATTAGTGAGGTCACTGACCTCCTGTATGTACTTATCCGCCGTAAAAGAGAGGAGGCGAAAGGAAAAAATGGAAGAGAAAAGGAGAAAGAAAGGGAAGGGAGAGAGAGAACTAGGTGAGGCCGTGAGGAGCAAAAGAGGGATGGGTGGGGGTGAGGGTGTTGGGTGCAGAGATTCAGAATCTGGGTAAACTGTTTTTTGTTTTTTTTTTTTTTATTGTTTTATATAAGGTATACGGGGCTGAAATTGGAAGTTGAAAAAAAATAAATTAATCCGGCTATCAACAAAAGCAAAAAGGCTAGGTGTTTGATGCTCATTGGTTTGGAACACCAACTGTCATCAGTGAGTTGGTGTTCCCGGTACTTAGAAAATTTCTCGTAAAGGAGGATCAGATTGCCCTGACTAAATAGTAGCCGTTGTGTTTTTTTATTTTTTATTTTACAAATAACCCTGCATCATTTCACATCTCCTATACAAGTTTCCAAATTTTATTTAGGCTCTCCATGTATCAAAAGTTTCGATTTGGATTGTGATTGCTAACAGACTTTATTACATAGACTTGATTAATAGTTTTTTTATTATTATTATTACAGGTCGATTTAAAACAATGTATTAAAAGCGTGAGGCGTGGGCAAGGTGTCCGAGGCAAAGCCCAGCCTAGGCGTGACGTGTGAGGCGAAGCCTTACAGGATTTAATTTTTTTTTATATATATGTTTTATATATTATACATATAATTATATAAAAAATAATACTATGTAAAATAAACATCCATTCTCAATTTTTCATTCAAATCCATAGTCATTTAAAAGATAATATCATTTAAATTCATCATTCAAAGGTAATATCACCCAAATTCATCATTCAAAAGGTAATACAAACAAAGAAAACAATCGTTCATCCAAATCATCTTCATATAAATCAAAATACAAACAAAGATATAAATCATTCATCTAAATCCTCTTCATCTAAATAAAAGGCAACATCATCCTCTTCATTGCCAACTCTAGATGAACTTGTCGGGTATCTCATCATTTCATCAAAAGAATTTTTCGAATCATATTCCACATTTCTTCTAGTTCTACTTGAGGATTCTTCATTACCCCGTTTTCTTTTGTATGTAATAGGACCCTGAGGTTGAGTAGGCTCACGAGGAGAAGGAGGAGGAGTAGGCTCACGAGGAGGAGGAGGAGGAGGAGGAGGAGAAGACTCTCTAGGCTCTCGAATGTATGAGTCACCTTCATAAACCGGGGTTGGCACATTCCTTATGGCCTCAACATTATACAATAACTCATCCTCAAGCCATGTAGGATCTTCCGGAAGAACGAGATCTTCTATCTCTGTTATCCATTCATCATAGGAGGCAATTTCTTCCACAACAATAGGATCATACTTCTCCATCCTTTTCTTACTTCTTTGTTGTAAAGCCAAATTGTACTTGACATAGGCTAAAGCGTTAAGCCTTTTGTGTTCAAGCCTATTCCTTCTTTTTGTACGAATCTACAAATAAATCAATTCTATTATTCAAGTCTAAACATTTTAAGCAAAAATGACACTTAAGATACTAATAATATATTTACTTACCATTGAAAATGTGCTCCAATTCCTCTCACATCCCGATGCACTACAAGTAAGGCTTAGAACTCGGATAGCAAATTTCGTTAACTAGGGTGTTTTATGCCCAAAGCGCTCCCACCAAGCCGCTAAAAAAACAATATTAATAAGGTAAGTAATTTAAAGGTTAATGATAAAAAGATATTAATAATTAACTAATTAAATCTTACTTGGTGTTCGCTTTTTCCTAGTTTGCATAGTCATAGAATCCGCAAATGGACCACGCTTATTAGTAAATAAATCCAATTGAACATCGGCCTCTTCACGTTCTTTCCCTTTCCCAAGCATCCTATCCATGCAAGCAAACAACCCATTTCACACTTCATCAGTATTTGAGAAATTATCCTCATATCGAAATTGTGGGTTTAAGTAATAGCCCGCCGCATGTAGTGGTTGATGAAGTTGATCATCCCATCTACGATCTATCTTTCTCCAAATAGGCATATATTTTTTCTCCACTTTGTTAAGATTGCTTGCAATTTTCTCTTTTGCGGCATTTATCAACTCATATATAAAACCCATGGGGGGTCTCTCCTCCGAATCAACCTCTCTCAAAACACAAACAAGAGGAAGAACGCCCTTAATGCAAAAGGAAACTTGACCCCAAAACTCATGATCATATAACACATGATGCTTAGCCAACTTTGCTTCACGTGATTTTGCATAGGTACTTTCCGACCATTCTTGAGAGACAAACAAAGCAACAAGATTTTCCTTTTGCTTTTGTAAGCTTTGTAGTGTAAGGAAATAAGTGGCAAACCTAGTGACCGCCAGACGAAGAATTTCCGAATTGTTAGTGTACTTTCTCATCAAAGCTAGTACCCATTGATGCCCATATAGATACTTTGAAATACACCTAGCATGTTTGAGTGTGTCATCAAACCATGCCATCTTAGAAATATCTTCTAGCATCAAATCAATGCAATGAGCCGCACATGGAGTCCACCACACCTTCTCTTTCCTCTCCATAAGTTTTGCCCCGGCATTCTTGTAGTTCGAAGCATTGTCGGATATAACTTGAACCACATTCTCCTCCCCAATTTCTTGAATAACGTCATCCAAATAGCCATACAACAAATCTCCATTCTTAATAGAGGCCGATGCATTAACCGATTTCAAGAACCAAGTACCTTGAGTGCTATTGACAAGAAAGTTGATTAAACATCTACTTTTGCCATCCGACCATCCATCCGACATAATAGTGCATCCATATCTCTTCCAAGCTTTTTGATGTTCTTTCATCATACTTTGTACATCATCAACTTCTTCTTTGAGCATCCAAGTTCTATATTCATGGCTTGTAGGAGCATCAAAGCTGGGACCAAAATTGGACACCAATTTCATTGCATTAACATAATATTCATTGTTTGCCGCATTGAATGGAATGGCACTAGTGTAGAACCATCGGGCAAGTGCTCGGGATGCTTGTCTTCTTTTCTCTTTTTTGAAAGGTGTATTCAACGTGGTTTGACGAGCTTCCGATGTAACATACCTATCAAGTGGTCCCCTTGACCTAGGTGGTAGAAAAGAACCGGTTTGTTGTGAATGTGTGGCACTCGCACTCCCACTCCCACTACTTACATATGCTGTACTTGTTGTGCCCATATCGACACTTTCACTTTCTTCTCCACCACCACGACACAACTCATGACTAGCTTTCCTCTTTTCTTTAGTGCCCATAACATTAGCAAAACATTATTCCTTCACATTGGGTGGGCCTTTTTTACAACTTATCATTCCTCCCGAACTTACACCTCCCAAGTGATGTTTGAATCTAGAAATTGAACCCGTGCATTTATGGTTACAAAAAACACAATAGAAGTGCTTAGTGACAGGATCCAAATCTTTTGTCCATTGCCAAGCAAAATCTTTCTTAGAAGAAGAAGCCATATTCTTCAATACCCTAAACAATAAACAATAGATGCATGCATACAATTAATGAACCAACAATTTATTAATTAATTTATAGACCAACAATTTCCAACAATTTCGAACAATTTATTAATTAATTTATATACCCCTCTAGTGCCAATTTCTAACAATTTCTAACAATTTATCTAAGTGCCAATTTATGGCACACGGACACAATTTATGGCAGCCGGTAGGAGCATTAAATTTATGGTATAAGTGCAAAACAGTTTATGGCAGCCACACAGACAAATAAAACTGTGGGCTGTCCCCTGTTTTCTACTCTGCTTCTCTCTCTCTCTCTCTCTCTCTCTCGCAGAAAGCCTTCCCCAGAAAATGCAAAACCTTCCCCAGAAAACTATTAACCCCTCTATAGCAAAAGTTGCAAAACCTTCCCCAGAAAATAAATCCCTAATTTCAGAAACCCTAACCTTTGGGATCTTGCTGACTGCGCTGAGGCTGGGCTGATGGTGCTGAGGTGACGGCGGCGGGGTGATGGCGGCGTGTCGATTGGACCGGTGTTCTGAGCCTCTGGGCTTCTGGCGCGCGGGAGAAGAAAAAGCAACAAGGCAGAAGGCAAAAGGCAGAGGCACAAAAATGGGATCGAATTCGAAGGTATGGTATGAAGACTGAAAATCCTTACCCAAACAACGTCGTTTTGGGTTTGGATGGTTGTTTTAAAAAAAAAAAAAAAAAAAAAAAAAAAAAGGTCTGACAAGGCGTCCAGACGCCTTGAGGCGTGCCTCCGCCGCCTCGGCATCTCCGGCGAAGCATTTCGCCTACTCCAGCAAAACTGAGGCGTTTGCCTCTCCGCCCAGCCTCAAGGGGGCCCTAGGCGCTCCCCGAGGCGAGTTCTTTAAAACATTGATTTAAAATTAGAGACTCATTACAAGAACCGTTAATAGAATTTTATCTAAATAGTAAAGACAATGTCAGTTAGTTAAGGAGTTTGAGTTTTTTTTTTTTTTTTTTTTTTTGATATAGGGATATATTTACACTAAGAGGTGCGAGAATAAATTAGTTTTGGACTAGTCATCTACGAGATTCAAACATAAAGTCTAATAACAATAATCAAGGAATTTTTCAATGCATAATTGAAGCTAGATGGAGGTAGGCGACGAGTTGATTCCCTCCTCAATTCATACAAATATAGAATTAGGATACAAGTACGTGCTCGTGGTAAGTGTGAATTGTACTGGTTGAAAGAGTTTTTTTTTTCCTTCTTCTTCTTCTTCTTCTAAATCCACTTCGTTTCAAGTTTAAATCCTCCCCCTCCCCACTATAGGGAAAGAGCACACTATCTAAGTCACATTATACAAAATATTAATCTAGATACCTAGATCATGCCTTTTCTCTTGGGTTCTTAAAGATGTCAAGGATTTTGAAGACTTATACTAATTTAATGCACATGTCCAAATCCCTAAAAGGTATACAATACACATTATGGAAGTGTTATACCACATGGGCTTTGGCCCCTTTTTTCACATTCAAAAAGGAAGTATTATATTACACATTGTGCAAAAATCAAGTTCCAAGTTGCAACCAAAATTAAAGGAAACACATATTGGAAGTGGTGTTGCCCAAGAAAATCATCTTGAAAATTACTAAAGCTTGTAAATTCTTGGAGGAGTCGTGCCACTTGACCACAAAAATGAAAACAACAACAAAGTGTTGATGTTCGTTTCACTTTCAGTTTTTGGTTTCCATCGTTTTATATAGATAAAGGGAATGTGTATGAAGGAATGAGGATTGAAATAGTGAATGAAGGGTGGAGGGAGGGAGGGAGAAGAGACTACTAAACGAAAATTGTAATAAACAAAACTAGAAAAGATAACCCATTCAAATTTGATTTTAGTTTTCATTTTTAGGGTATTCTTCCATGTATATTTCTTCCGGCTCCTTCCCACCATTCTTCCTTCACCTTTGCTCACCCTTCTTTTCTCCATTATATTTTTCCTCTTCCTAAAAGGGAAAACTAAAACAAAAAGGAAATAATTATCAAACGGGCTTAAAAACGTGGACCTTTTTTTTATTAGGATGTGTGAGAGAGTTATCATTTCCCTAAATCAAATAATAGTGAACCGAGCAAGACGAGAACTTGGAAAATGAACCACTTTTTATTAACAGAAATTCACAATGCGGATCCAAACTAGGTACTACAATTACAAAGAGGATCATCACTTGACAATATATGAAACATTTGGTAGCCAAAATTGGGATCTCAAGTCAAGTAGATCATGTTAGCTTCCCAAATACTCAGAGGTCCATTGAAGCATTCTCGGAATGCTACACACAAATCAGTAAGCTTTGAGCCAAAGCGTTACCGAGTCTCTTTCAGGTGATTGCCGGATTATGACGGAATTCAAATGCTTCGAGTCAAAGCACCACATAAATTTTCACTTTGCATCAAATGATCTATAGCCACCGCTTGTTACTTTTTGTTGATGAACGGACTGGCGGAGGTGTTTTGGCATTTCTGTTGTCCTTTGCACCTGCAAAAGGAATCACCATAAGAAACTCAAATCATAGATGAATATGAAAGCTCTAACCTGGTAAGATTGTTCTAGAATGTAATGAAGCTTGTATAAGCTTTACGTACTAGTTTTGCTTGGCTTCCCTTCTAGAGATGATCGTCTGTCATACCCTGGTGGCGAAATGCCTGTTAGTGATTGCCTCCTCAGAGTTCTTGCACTATTTGTTACCGGTGAATTTGCATCATTTATATTGGTTGCGCATTTAACACTTGACTGTGCTTCCACCAAACTTTGCTGGTTCCTGCAAATTTAGTGGGGATTTATGTTCATACGTGTATGTCATGTTTGAGGCATCATAACAATGTAAAACATATGTAATGTATAGAAACCAAAAAATAGCGAAATGTCCTAGACTATCAGGAGAACAAAATTCAAAACATGAGTTTCACCCACCTCTTATCAGAGCCATTGATCAGTTTTCCAATAGTCCGCAGGGATTTCCTTATCTGAGACCCTTTTCCACTTGTGCTACTTGTCAAATTAGGTGTCAGGTAATCTGTAGAAAGGGTGACCTTACTTTGCATGACAATCTGTACCTCATTTCTGGAATGCTTTTTTGGTTCGGGTGTTGTTGGTAGCTGAAAGGGACGAACTTGTGCCTTGTTATCTGCTTTTAACCCTTGCTTCTGATAACTACCCATCCTTGGGCTGCGAGGAGCCATCTTTGGGCTACGAGGAGCCTTGGTCTGAAGCTCAGGTGTCGTTGGTCTCTGAGGAGGAGGAACTTGGGTTCTACTACCTGGTTCCAACACTCGCTTCTGATATGTAGCACTTGCTGGACTTAGAAGATTCCTGGGACGAGGTTCGGGCGTTGTTGGTTTCTGAAGGGAAGGAACTTGTGTTCTACTACCTGGTTCCAACACTCGCTTCTGATATGTAGCACTTTCTGGACTTAGAGGAGTCTTGGGACGAGGTTCGGGTGTTGTTGGTTTCTGAAGAGAAGGAACTTGTGTTCTACTATGTGTTTCTAACACTTGCTTCTCGTAGGTAGTGCTGGTTGGACTTTGAGGAGCCTTGGGACAAAACACTTCTAATGTGGAATCTCCATTACTGAAATGGCCCAACGGGGTAGTGACTGCTGCTGCACATTGAAGTTGACCATATTCCTGCACTGCCACTGCCTCAGACGTTAGGATTTTCCCCATGTCATGCGATATATGCAGATTATCCTTCTTAATTGATCTTGGACCTTCCAAGCTCAATCTCCTCGAATGAGTTGGAAGATAAGGGATTTTTGCCTTCTCGGTTTTCACAGTGCTGCAACTTTCAATGCTTAATCTTCTCAGACGTTGGGGAGTTCTCTCAGTCATTGTTCTTGGCACACACTGACCTTCTTTGTTTGCTAATGCCTTCTTAAGACTCTCAATCTGAAAAGTTTGAAACATGACGAAAGTGTTAACGCGTAAGCATAAACAATTACAATGTTTTGCTAATACTCTAAAGTTTCAGGATGAATTTAGATAGAACAATTGACCAATCCAAGTATAGAGAGTAAAACAGATTTGTGAAAATATAGGCAGAAAAAACCAAATTAATAAAATTTGTTCACCTGTTCTCTGAGTTTCATAACCTCACCGCTCTCCTTGTTTGAATGAGCAGCACCAAGTTCAACGGTGGAAACCCTCTGTGCAAACTTCAATGTACTGATAGTTTCACTGAAGGAATCTTCTTCTGGACTAACATGGGCAAGCATTAAAGTTTTAGCATGTCCACCTGAATTAAATAGCCAAAGAGAAGGTTGAGTTAGTTCAGCGCACAGTATATCAAAATTTAATTGTTAAAACTCCTCGAGAACAAGCCTCAAGTGTTCCATTTGACCGATCATATTGTGGCATCATTTCAAATCCAAGCCAAAAGTTAACCAAATTCCTCACCCTTATAATGTGGCATGATATTGCTCGAAATCCAATATAGCAAGATTGAATAATAGACAGAAATGCTGAATATTCAAGAAATTACAAACCTAAGGAGTCTTGCAACAGAAGTGTGAGTTTGCTGTTTCTGTAAGGGATGTGAGAATTCTTCTGAGCCAAGGCTGCAATAACATCTCCTAAACATGAAAGAGACTTGTTGATATACTGTGCCTCTTTCAGCCTATCTCCTGTAACTTCAGATTTGTCCACTCTTTCGCTTCCTGCAAGGTCAACCAAATGAAGGCAACTACGTAGAGTACCTCCAGAAGTATCTTTTCCATGGACATGGACTGTTAGGACACTGCAGAGACACACCAAAGACCATCAGTGGGCACAAAATAACTGATATGGCATGATAAGAAAATGTCTTATAAGAGAGCCTCAGGTCCTAAAAACTGACCTATGGGAACGGCTACTGCGGCTATTGATTGCGGTCGAACTGACCATACGATTCGTCTCACCAAATTTCATGAGGTTCAGGACATCAGTAGTAGACTTCACTGAATGCATTGTAGCACCTGGGATACTCAAGCCATTATCACCAGCGCAGCTCCGTATCTCTAATTTGGCAGTGGATGAATCTTCTGCAAGAAGGTCTCGTACTTGTTCATTGTAAATTTCGACCATTTGGACATGAATGTCATAATCTATGATATCCTTCCTTTTGTTTGACATTTGGAACAAATCGCTGAGAGCTAGATAATTAATCCCCATATCCGCGGCTGACCCACCTGATGGACCACTCTGTAAAGATATATAAAAACTTGTGTTAAGATACATAATGTACATACACAAATCTGATGTGTCATTTCTTATAATATACAAAAATGCTTGCAAGCAGATGAGAACCAATAATAAATCACTCCTTCCCTCCTACATAAGTCTAAACCTTACAAAACATTTATCAAACTGAAATCTCAGGCTTGTATCTTACCATGGTATGTGTTTTACCGGATCCAGTTTGACCATAAGCAAAAATGCATACATTGTAACCATCCATCACAGACCTGATCAGTGGTTGAGTGTCCTTAAAGACCTCATCTGTAAATGAATGTATAATAGAGTCAGTATGCAACAGATCGATGCTGAAAATAGATTAAAAAAAAAAAAGTTTTGATCTAAAACTACCTTGCCTAGCAGTTGGACCAAACACTCGGTTGAACTGGAAGACTTTCCTTCCATCCTTTTGGGGTTTTGCAGGGTCCGAGATCACAAGTGACCCGTCCTCTCCAATAAAACTTATTACATTTCCAGATTCATAACTGAAGGAAGGCCTAATCCGGCAGTAAACTCGAATATTACCTGAAGCCGTTTCAACCAAGATCAGATAACAATTTTTTGTAGTTGACTTAAAATACGATAGCATAGCTAACACTTTTGTTTGGGAAAAGTAGCAACCTTTCAAATCCTGAACCATGTTGTATAGCTTTTGATTCTCTTTCACCACCTTGTAATACCCGAGTGCGGCAGTTGACAACTCCTGCACCTGATTAACTGAAACCACAAAGAGCACAAACAGAATTCACTTTTAAGAAATTTATGTGCATTTATAGCTTTGTAAAAATGCACAGCATTAGGACATTCTTCCATCAGCACATACCCAAGCATTTCAAATCTCTATTCAATTGTGTCTGTAAGTCTTCAAAGTCCCGTTTTGCACTTAACCACAAGGCCTTGAGATCCTGGAAATTGAAAATCATACATTGCCATTTCCAAATTATTATAGCAGGAGAAAATTATATAATAAACTAACTGTAATTTCACTTAAATTGAATTTTTATTTGACCAACCCGGAGCTCTTCTTTAACTACTTTGTTATAACTACATTGTGGGCATTAGTGTTGTATTATGATGGAGATTCATATAAGCTAACTTTGTACTGAAAATTTAATAGATTTATAAGACAGTAACATTATAAACACATACCACAAGTTCTTTCTCTTGCGTTTGGAATAGAAATCTGTGGTTGCAGTTACCCTTTCTTAAACAAGCTCTGCAGCTCTATTTGAAAGAAAAGATAAGGACACTTCAGAATTTAGTAGGAATTCAAAAATCTGAGTGCAATATCCAATACCATAAAGCATCAGAGGCAATACCAAAATAGATAAAAGTGCTTCTAAAATATAATATACATACTCCGGAATTTCCAGGAGCAGATGACTCCTCTAGAGGCATAGCTGTTGAAAGGCCAGTTGATCTCCTTTTTTCTTTCAAAGGGTCTTTTAACTTAGAGTTTAACTGTTTGTACAAAAGAATAGTGTCAAGTTAAGAGCAACTTTGTGTAAGTAAAAACATTGGCATAGTATAGAGTGAGCAGGATTGGGGGAAGGGGGAGGAGGTCTGATCTAAAGGAACATAAACTTAACCATTTCAAATAGCTATACTAAGTTCATAAAAGAAGTCGCAAGATTATGCACATTAGGTGATGCAGAAGGAAATCCCATTTAGATATCAACAATATCCCCGAAATACCTCCTAGACTGCAACTTCATCTTAAATTTCACCCATTATGTATTATCATTATGAAAAGAGGAAATAACAGGGGATACCCTCTACATTTTATTTGACTCTATCTGTTTAACAAGATTAACACATCATCATACTTTTGCAATTTATTTACGAAGAGAAAATAATTGAAGAATCTCGTAACACTCAAATCAAACAAACCTCTGGAAACTTCTTCTGTAGATGTTGCTCCAAACAACTTTTCATGATTCTTTGAAAGAGGCTGACTGCATTCTGCACAGAAGAAGTTGGTTAAAATAGATGAAAGTTGATTTCAAATCTAATCCATATTCCAGTATTTGTTAACTGAATCAGAGTAACATTCTTTATTTCAAAACATAGAAGGGTAAAAAGAGAGAGAGAGAGAGAGAGAGAGAGAGATCATTACCACATCTCCACTATGGTAGGAAGCAAGAACATTGTCATCAATGTTTTCCTTTACGTCAACCATAGAGTCAAAAAGTAACTTGACAACAGATTCTACGGAATCCACTGCATCACAATTAACAGAAAGACAAGAGTTAGGGAGAGAAACCGAATACCATTACAAATATCCTAGATACCAAGCTGTGGATTCGATATAAAATGATTGCCCTTCGGAGCAGATGTGAAACATACATACCAACAGATAGAACAAATAGAGTTTTTTTTGTATCATTCAATAATGATCCTTTATCTTTAACCCTTACCATCTGATAACCACAAAACATACAGCTAATGTACTATATAGCCAACCATCCTGGAAAAAAATTGTATCAAAACTTGAATAGAACCCTAAACCTCGAATCTTAGTGTTCCTGCAGCTACATCAATGAACACATACATGATGATACATTGCTTCTTTGAGGTTATATATTCAATACTGATACTTCATTATTAATTTGGGGCATCTAGAAGTAACCATGGCATATACAGGTTTCACTAAATAGTAAATACCATACTTGGCTTAGAGGAAATTCTCATTAACTTTCTATTCTACGTAGTCCACAATCCAAGGTAATCTTTTCATAGCATAACATGAAAATAAGTTAATGTACCAAGAGTCTAGGTTTCTTATGAAATCCTACTATATATGCTTCTACATCAATCAAAGAGTTTGCTGATTAATTATATTATTATTCGTTCAATGTTCAATATTTCTACTAAAAATATCAATGTTCCCTCAATGATGATCATAACAAATATCAATATTATGCATATGTTATTAATTTAAGTAATTTCTGTTAAAAGTTTCCAGTTCAGGTATGGATATAAACTAAACTCCATTTACAAAGTTCTCAAGAAAGAGAAATCAATAAAACCTTCAACTTTCTGGTTGTCACCCTCAACTGGTGGTTGTCTCTCACATACGGCAGACATATCCAAGTGCATGCAAGAATCTGATGGGACTACAGTTGAGGCCCTTGAATGCAGTCTATTGGCAGAAACCATAACTAGAGGAGATTTCACATATTTAGTAAATCCATTCCCATTGCTCATCTGCTTCCACTCATAATACGATTTAAGGGCTAAAACACAGTCAACAACCTTGGCTGCTGACCCTGCCTCCATTGCATCCTGAGATGACAAATATCAACAAATACAATGTGAAAATGCAGTAGTATTGACATATACATAAAATACAGACATGAGCAAGTGATTTACCCTTTCGAGGTTAGAAGCTTCAAAAGCAGGCAGCTTCAACTCTTCCACAGCGACCAGAAAGTTACGGACATTCTCAAAGTACTGATATGCAGGCAGTGCTTGAGATTCCCGACTTAATGATTGCAAAGGCAGTTGGCTCTCCACAACCTTAAGTAGTAATGATTATAAATTAAAAAATGGGGTACAGTAGTTAGAACTGGATAGATACCAGAACATATGCCCATTTTTACTATTGTAAAAACGAATCAGCAATAAGAATCAAACATATCATTTTACTCTACGTTCTTCGCTTCGTCAAACAAACAGAAAAAAAAAGAAAGTCTGAGATTGAAACGTGATACCTTGGGCACTGCTCCTGGTTGAATCTTGTTGATAGCATTGCACAGGATCAGACCATTTCTCAAGCAAGAAATGAAGTCTCTCTCCGATGGCTGTTTTGGTACGCCAAGTGGACCTACCAGGCTTTCAAGCCATTCAACGGCTTGGAATCGCCTCCAAGCTGTCAAAGTTACCAAATTCAGAAATTAAAGAAAGTATTACGTCCCTGTTTGTTTTCTGAACATTTATGGAGAGAAAATATTATAAAATCCTTGATCTTCGTAATTTACAATCCAAGAAATTAATCCACAATTCAATTGACTCAAACACAACCGAATTACAATTAGTTGATGAAATTTGTTCAAATCTTGGAAACCCAATTACTATTAGTTAATTCCACAAACAATTCCAAATTTAAATCCTTTTTTCTGGAAAATTCGAAATGAAAATTTCAATCCTGACCAAGCAAACAAACGAATTGAAAAATCAAAATGCAGATGAATTAACGCTTCAACGTGCCTGCTTCTTCTGCTTTTCTTGAAGCCCTTGCAAAATCATGCAATCCAGTTCTTGCACTGTCCTCCATTCCTTCTTTCCTGCAAATTAACGAGAAAAAAAAACATTCAACCACATAACATTCCGAAAGAAAAAAAACACACAAAAGTTGATGACAGAGAGAGAGAGAATTCAATAACATACTCGATAATATTTCTGGGTTTTTCTGTAAAACCCCGAAAACCCAGAATCTAGAGAGAGAGAGAGAGAATAGCAGAGAGAGTCTAGTATTGAAAATGCAGCATTCTTGGGGTTCTTGGCTTTCGGGCTAAAGTAATACGAATCCGGACCCGAGGCTTCGGAATCCTAACGTTTAATTTTTTTGAATTCAAATAGGTGGGGATGATCGCGACCGTCTAGTAAGAAGACTGTTTGACCTCATCCAACGGATGGGGTCTCCCAGAAATAGAACATTTTGAAGTTCGGGTTCTTGTCGTACTGGGCCTCGGGTTTGGGCTTCTGGGCTTCGGATTGCTACGAGAAGCTTATGACAGTTGAGAATCATACATCACGCGCGTGAACAGCACGCTCTTATTTCACTCAGTAATCAGGGAGTTGTGTTCAAACGCAGTATCAGTCGCGTGTTGCATTGGTTTGAAATTTTTTTTGTTTTATTTCTTCCTGCTATATTGATTAGTGGGTGACTGAATTTTTTTATGCGGGTTAAAAGTGTGTAATTGTTAACACCAAAAACTTGGGGATTTGGGAGGATGGGAGATATCAAATACCACCGCTTTCTTGGTTTTAGGACGATATTGGATCCCATCAATTTGATTTTTTCTGATTCTCGCTGAGTTTGACATTTCAAACTATTAATTCAGGTATAATTTATCGGAATTGGATCCTCTCCGAGGTAACCCATCGGGATTCTCCTAATCGAGGTTAGTGAGCTGTTAGAGTTATAATTATTATAACTTGTAAATGGTCCTCTTATTTATAACCGTTGGATAAAAATACAACGGCCTACTAACACCTATTAGGAGGATTCCGATGGTTTGCCTCGGGTAGGACCCAATTCCTAATTTATCACAGTTATTAGTACAGTGGGCAAAAAAAATACTAACATATCCAACGGAAATATTAAATTCAAAGTTAAGAGACATGCAATCAAATCAATTAAATTTGAAGGTAGAAAAAAGTTTCAATTGATTTTCTAATCCATTTTCTCTTTCTACATGGATTGACATAGAAATTTTTGCTGCCAATTTTGATATATGAAAAAAATGTGTTGTCAATTAATTTTCTAATTGAATTGTTATGTGGGTTCCATATCAATTATGAATCATGAAAATTTGTTTAATTGATTTCTTTTTTAAGAATGTGCCGTACAAATATTATTATAGCAAAAAAAACCATATGAGCTGTAGGAAGAGAAAATCTGATTTTGCCACGTCTATTATCAAATTAACATTTAGTCATTCGCTAAATTAAATCAATATGAGCAATCTGTTTAAGTTTTATTCTAAAACATGAGTAAATTACATTTTACCACTTCATGTTTGAAGTCTATTGTAACTAGGGTTGGGCACGGGCCGGCCCGGGGATTACATTTTCTAATATAGGAACCGGACATTACCCGGCCCGGTTGAAACGGGCCGGTTAGGGTTGGGTCCACGGGTCCCTTTTTTTTTTTATTGGTTGTTTGAAAAAAAAATTGTACAGATTGCAATCTGCACAAAAACTGCACAGATTGCAATCTGCACAAAACTACACAGATTGTAAACTGCACAGATTTGAATTTTGCACAGATTGCAATCTGCACAGAATTGCACAGATTGCAAACTGCACAGATTTGCATAGATTGCAACTGCAGAAAGTCACATACTGCATTTATGCAGATTTTGCACAAATTCACCATTATTCACATCCAATCTAAATACAAAGTCCAACATCCAAGTTCATAGATTAACAATACATCCAAAATAATAATATTACATTTTCCAACATCTAAAAATCAAATCAACATACAAAATCTCCGAAAGTCCAAGACATCCAAATTCCAAGAATCAAATAATCCAAAACAACATAAACATGACATCCGCAATAAATTTCAAATTATCATCCGAAACCACATCCAGGTTCCAACGCACAAGTTCCAACAACAATCCTCATTGAATCTGTAAGCAAACATAGAATACAAACATAACATTTTTAATGTCCAACATCATATTATCTATCCTCATTCAAATTGAATTATTGAAATTTAAAGTTTATTCATTTGAGTTTAAAATATTACCTCAATTCCTTTTCCTTTATTCGTTCGAGTTGCTTCAATTTTAGGAACACTTGATGAGATGGTTGAACTTGTAGATATAGTATTTGCTCTTTTTCTTTTATATTCTACAACAAAAAACAAACGTTAATTGTAAACCAATTAATATAAAGTTATAAACCAAACTATAAAAAACAAGATAATTACCTTCTTCACACTCTTGATAAAATTCAAGCTCTGCGGGACTTGTTTTATACTCAATGCTGCCAATTGGTTCACTTCTTATCCAATTTTGAAGGCACATCAATGACTCCACTGTTTGAGGAAGGAGACATGATCTACAAGGGTCAATTACTCTCTTTCCTCCACTAAATGCACTCTCACTGGCAACTGTTGACATTTGAATTGGCAAGACATCTTTCGCTATCAAAGCAAGTGTGGGATATGTGCTCCTCCCTTTCAACTTCCACCATTTCAAAACGTCAAATTGTGAACCATGTGGTACTTTCTCTACAGTGTCAAGGAGATACCTATCCACCTCATGTGCAAGCACAATATCCTTGGTGTCTTCTAGTTCCTTCTCCCAATCATCCATGATTTGACTAAATATCATTGGATTTTCTGTTGGCACACTAGAAGATGATTGTTTTACCCTTGAAGAAGAAGTGTCAAGAACTAAATCTTCTCTACCCTTTTGTTGTGTTTGTGAATCGAAAGCTTGACCAGCATATTCATCACACATTGTCTTCAACAATGTCTTCACTTGATTACTTTTATGTTCAATCTCTTCTTCAAGAAGTTGTAATTGCTTTCTACACAAGTGCATGTAGTGCCTCAATTTGAACCTTGAGTCTAAGACAAGGGCAATTACAAATATTTGATTAAGGGACTCAATTGAACCAAAATACTTTCGATATTTGGCTCTCATGTTGAATGCCATATCACGTAGCACTAAATCTGCAGGTCTTCCAGTTTACATATATTCAAGCAAAAGAAGTTTTTCAATCTCGTTTTCCACAACAATGACATCATGAACAACTGTATTAGATGTGGGATACTTACTTGCACTAACTTTTAAAGTTACAAGATAGAAGACCTTCAAAAATTTCATAAACACTTCTGCACTATCCCAATCTTCTTCCTTAGGTGGTCTAACCCTCCCTTTACCCGCCACTTCTTCTCCTTCATCATTAAACACCTTTTCACTAAAATAGGTGGTGTATATATTGGCTTTATCATCTTTGATCATCCTTTCAAATGCTTTTTTAAACTTCAAGCAATATTCTAGCATCATGTATATGCTATTCCACCTAGTAGGCACATCCACAACAACTAGACCCTTACTATCCAACTTCTCATTCTCCACACATTTCTTAAAATAACTTAACCTTCGGGGACTTGATCTCACAAACCGCATGACATTTCTAAGAGCATCCACACTTGTATCTAATCTTTTCAACCCATGTTTCACTACCAAGTTGATAATATGAGCTAAGCACCTCACATGCATAAACTTGCCATTCATAATCACTTTACTATTAGGCCATTTCTGCATTTTACGAACAATATACTCAATTGCCACCTTATTAGCCGATGCATTGTCAACTGAAATGCACATTACCTTTTCAATCCCCCACTCAACCAAACATTGCTCAATCATCTTCCCTATTTCTTTGCCTTCATGACTTGAAATCAAACAAAAGTTTAGAATCCTTTTGTGCATATTCCAATCATCATCCACAAAATAAGCAGTTAGCACCATGTAGTTCAAATTTTGCACACTTGTTCATGTATCAGTACTCAAGCTCACTCTATGATTGTGTATCTCCTTTTTTAACTGATCTTTCATGCTATCATACATACTGAATAACTCCCTCACGAGAGTTCTCTGAGATGGAACATGCAATCTAGGCTGGACTTTGCACATCATCCGCCTATACCCTTCACTCTCCACAATACTAAAAGGTACCTCCTTGATCACAATAAACTCAATAATACCTTCCACACTTTCTTCTTGGCTCCACCCTTTAGCAATAAGCATGTTTTTGACATCCCCAGAAGGTCTAGAACTGCCTAGAACCTTTTGCAACTCATCAATTGTTTTATATGACTTGCAATGTTTATTGATATGTTTAATGTAAGTACTAGTTCCACCCCACTAGTATCACATGCAAAAAGGGCGTTACAACGGTTACACTTAGCCTTCAATACTTGTACCTCCACCTTCTCTTTCTTTCCATCCTTTTCTACTTCTTGTATTTCCGAGACGATACACTTAGTGACATGATCCCAAACCCAAGATCTCTCACAAGAAGTTCTCTCTAGTGAAGCTATTATAGTTGGTTGTTTTGTCTTTGGAATGGGTGGTGCTTTTCTTTTTCTGGAGGATGAGCGGTTTGGGGGAGGCATTGATGGTTTTGACAGTGTGGGTTATGCTTGTGTTGGTTGTGGAGGACATGGTGATGTAGTCGTAGATGATGCTACATTAGTACTACTAGGGGTACTTTGACTTTGAGATTGAGACATTATGTAAAAATCTGTAAAAATTAAATAATGGAACTATATTCATTAATCAAATAAAATAGCATAATCTCCATGTAAGCATAATCTACACATTATACATAATTTAAACCCAAAAAAGCATAATCTCCATGTAAATAAAATAGCAAATAATTACTATTTGGGATGGGAAACAATCACTCTCTGGGATTGCTCTGTTTAACATATAACATTATATATATATCAATATAACATGTATATAAACAGATGGGTAACATATTGCATTGTGTGTATATAATGTAATCTTTTCTTATACCAAAAAATAGTTGGCAAATGACACGTTCAACCTGCAGATATAAGTTGTATTCAAGTTTATACCAAATTCATATAACATTTCCAAGTAAATTCATACTTCGGTTCGGGTCGGGGACCCGTTTCCTCAGCAATTAGGACCCATCCCACCCTGCAAATAACATGGAACCGCCCCGCCCCGTTTCAGATTTTAAAAAATAGGACCCGCCCCGTGCATGCCCTGAACCACTTGGACCCGCCCCTAATTGCGG